CAAATGCAGTAGATGTGCTCTAGTTCAATTTACCTGAGTATGGTCCATGACTATTTGATCATGATCAAATAAGTACCAAAATTGGGAGTGTTTAGAAACCTTAATAGAAATTTGATAGTGTAATGGAGTATGACTATTCAATCTAATAATAAAAAATTGAGACTTGTATTTTGTACGACTTTTTTAAATTTCATTTTTCTCATAATTCAATTTTTATTGTATTTTCCAAAAGTATTGTTCCATGACTGATGGAAATAAAAAGCCTGATCCTTCACTGCAGATGGATTGGGAAGGACCGATCTCGGAAGCCCCTCAGAAGCTCATACTGCTGAAACTAAGCTCTTCCTTATCCCGGAGTTTGGATTTACTTCATTTATGCCACATAATTTCCACACCAGGCCACTAAACAAAGCAGAATACCCCCCACTTCATCACTGTGATCCCCAGAATTTCTCTAGCCCAAAGAGCTTATCTCACCTCTGCCCTTGTGAAATGGGACTCCATAATTCAGGCTGAAGGGGACATTGGGGGCTGAGTGGCAGAATCCTTGCCTTTGTGGAGGAGGCCCAGGTTAGATTCTCCATCAATGAACCTCATCCACAGCCATCACCTATCTCTCAGTGGAGGGTTGCATGTTACTATGATGCTGAATAGGTTCCCATGGAACTCTAGACAAAGACCAGGAAGAAAGGCCTGGTGTCTACTTCTGAAAATCCACCAATAAAAGTCTGCAACTGATTATGGGGATGGCATAAGACTGGCCAGTATTGTATTCCATTGTGCATGGGGTTGTCAGGAGTCAAGGGTTGAGTCAACACAGCTAATAACAAAAATATCTCAGGCTGAAAATGAGTGCTGCTTAATCTCTGAAATGGCAGAGATGTGGATGCCCCTCACACATACCAGAGACCAAGCTGGCTGGCCTGTGAAAAGGCATCATTTGGTAATGGCATCTGGCAGCTTCTAACCTCCACGCCTGCTGTCAGCAGCCAAGATCATTGGAGGCCATTAATTGGATCAGCTGCTAATGGACTTTCTGTTCTGGCTTTGTCCCCTAGCACTATTTTTAACTCATTTTGGTCTTTGAATTGTCCAAACACATTTTGATTTGTTTGGGAATCTGAACATAAACAAATCTTCAGGGTTGTTGCTGTGCAGAGCCTCAAATGATTCTGAAACCAACTTCCTGCTGCTAAATTCACTTTACTGAAAGCTGATCTTTCCCCACATTTTACCAGGATGAGCTGAGCACCACCATGCTTCCCTTCACTACCCACAGAGACATGCCCCGCACGCTCACTTCACATGGCTCAACCAAAGGAGTGACTATTTTCCTGGCAGAGTTCGAGGGAGAAACACACACTTCTGCCAAAGAACATGTCAATCCAGCAGTCAGTTGTTGGGGTCCTAATGTGCACAGGAAGGGCTTCCCTGACTAGGGACTCTGAAAAGCAAAGCCTGAAAACATTGCTAGCTCCAGTAGAGGAAAACTTGAGTGGGTGGTTTGGAGAGGTTTAGAACTCTGAGTTAGTTAGATTAGTTCAGTTTCCTGGAGGAGTTGGGCTTTCAGAATAATCTAAAGAAACAAAAAGCACAGCCCATAATGCAGCCTGGACTGGTCTGTCTTCTGCACCATTATCTCCTGCTCTTGCCCAGCTAGGCTTACAGCAGTTGGACATGACTTTGCTCTGATTTCAGTTCCCCACTTATTCATCCACCAATTGTGTCCTTAAGCACTATACTAGGGACTATAGTGGAGTGCAAGAGATACATAGCCCTGACCTCTAAGAGGTCATTAACTAACCAAGGGAACGGGCAATTAAAAGAAATAAGGGTAAAGTTCAAGAGACTACTAAAGCCCATGCAGAAGTGTCAGACTGGGGACAGAAGCTGCTCAGCTGGAGCCTATGAGAAAGCACCAGCAGGCAACTTGACTGAGGCAGGAAACCTCTAAGTTGCTTCTAATGATTCCCAAAGACACTTTCGTGAAATCCCTTCCCCTTGAGGATGGACTGGACTTGTGTCTTGCTTCTAACCAGTAGAATACAGCAGATGTGAAAAGGATATGAAGTCACTTCTGTGCTTAAGTTATAAAAAATTGACTTCCATCTTGCTTGTTGTTGTTAGTTGCTGTTGAGTTGATTTCAACTCATGGCAGTCTCGTGTTTGTAGAGCCAAACTGTCTATAGGGTTTTCAAAGCTGTGATCTTTTGGAAACAGATCACTAGGCCTATCTTCCAAGGAGCCTCTGGACCGATTAGAACTGTGACTTTTCCAGTTGGTAGTAAAGAGCTTCACAATGTTTGCCACACAGGGACTCCTTTCTATCTTACTAGTTGACTCTTTCTATTGTCCTCTTGGCTTGTATGCTTTGATGAAGCAAGTTGCCATTTTAGAGAGCCCTATGTAACAAGGAACTGAGGGTGGCCTTTGGCCAATAGTCAGCTAGGAAACTGAAGCTCTGGCTGACACCTGGATGGCAAATGAGTTAGAGATCTTGAAGCAGAAGACTAAATAAGCCATGCTTGGTTCCTTGACCCACAAAAACTGAGATAATAAGTGTGTATTCTTTTAAGCTGCTCATCTGTCAGTTTGTCATACTGTGGTGGCTTACATGTTTCTGTGATGCTGGAAACTATGCTACTGGTATTTCAAATACCAGCAGGGTCACCCATGGTAGCCAGGTTTCAATAGAGCTTCCAGACTAAGACAAACTAGGAAGAAGAAAGAGGTGGTCCCCCACTGGAAAAAAAAAAAAAAAATGGCACTGCAAACCTCATGAATAGCAGTGAAACATTGTCTGCTATAGCCCCAGAAGATGAGCACTTCAGGTCAGAAGGCACTCAAAATAGGACTGGAGAAGAACTCAAAGTAGAGGTGACCTCAATGATGTGTGTGGAATAGCTTTTGGAATCTTTGTTTGCTGATGTGCACAGCTCAAAATAAGAAGAAACAGCTGGAAATAGCCATCAATAATTGGAACATATAGTGTACAAAATATAAATCTAGAAAAATTGCAAGTTGTAAAAAATGACATGGAATGCATAAGGATCTATATCCTAGGCATTAGTGAACTGAAATGGATTAGTATTGGTCATTTTGAATCAAGCAATCAGATGTCTATTATGCTGGGAATGACAAATTGAAGAGAAATAGCATCACACTCATTGTCAAAAAGAGCATTTTAAGATCTATCCTAAAGTACAATGCTGTCAGTGATAGGATAGTATCCATACAGCTACAAGGAAGACCAATTAAATTTATGCACCAATCACTGAAGCCAAAGATGAAGAAACTGAAGATGTTTACCACCTTCTGCAGCCTAAAACTGACCAAACATGGAATCAAGATGTACTGATAATTACTGGTGTTGGAATGTGAAAGTTGGAAACAAAGAAGCAGCTTCACTTGTTGGAAAATATTGGTGATAGAAAGGACACCAGAGATCACATGATAGAATTTTGTAAGACCAATGACTTATTCATTACAAATACCTTTTTTCAACAACCTAAAAAGCAGCTATACACAAGGACATCACCAGATGGAATACACAGAAATCAAATCAACTACATAGGAATCAAATCAGCTAAATAAACAAAGCCAATAGCCAACTGTAACATCCCATCAATTGCTCATATGCAAGTTCAAGCTGTAGCTGAAGAAAATTAAAATAAGTCCATGAGAGCCAAAGTACTACCTTGACTTGACAACACCAAACAACACAATTTGCAGTAATTTGTTATGCAACAGTAAATAACTAATACACACCTGGTTTATGTTGCCTCATTTGGGGATGAGGACCTATTTGGTGGCACAGTGGCTAAAGCACTTGGCTGCTACTCAGAAAGTTGGTTATTCAAACCCACCAGCTGCTCCACAGGAAGAAGATGTGGAGTCTGCTTCCATAAAGATATACAGCCTTGGAAACCCTACGGGACAGTTCTACTCTGTCTTATAGTGTCACTATGAGACAGAATCTACTGACTCAAGGGCAGTGGATTTGTGTTTTTGTTTGGTTTGGGGACAGTAAGTCATTTATAAACACATTCACCAAGCAAAGTATGGGCTGGACTTACGTGTTGAGTCTCTGCCTGTTTGCTGAATGGTGCTCAGAAGATAGTTGGGGCAGAAAAAATGGCAGATGGATGGCTAGCAGCAGATGCCTGAAGTTACTGCTATCTTTGTTCATGGTCAGGGCTTCCTTACGTGGCACTTCCCTCAACTACTCAAGTCTGGAGGTCAAGGATTCTGCTGTTGCTTCTCACTCTGGCCCAGTCCTCGTCATGGCACATGGGTCTGAGTGTGATACTCATTCCTTCAGTCATCTTACAGCTACTCAGTTTGTCCAGGATTTGAGGGATGTGGTGGGAATGGAATCTAGTGGTGGGAATGGAACCTCCAGTGTAGCTGAGAAGCTCACAGGCTTTAGGCCTTAGATAAAGGACTTTGGCCAGACTTCACTGCCTCTCCTGAAGCCAGGCTGCTATAATGCCAAGGACCCTGCCCTGATGGTCCCTAAGACCTAGACACTGTCTCCAAAAGAGAAAATGAGGGACAGAGCCAGCCTCAGTTGTAAGGAGATAGTGAAACAATCTGAGAAAAGCAGGAGGCTCCTGTCTGAAAAATCTCTACAGATCACATGCCAAAATTAGCCCGACAGTTCATCATTACTTCAGCTTAAGAATGGCCTGAATCCTCTGGGAGGGGGGATCTTTGTGCTCCAGTCACATTGGTGTGAATGTGCTTATCAGGTTGTTTTGTCCAGGACACAGAACTCAATGTTAAGAAATCTTTTGACGATATTTATTGATACAAGCCAGTGCCTTGGGCTTTGGTGGTATCAGACAAAGGGAAAACACGTGGACAGAGTCATAGATACTTGGGTAGAAGAATTCATAGATCCAATTGATTTATTGATGTGGAAGTAATGGAAAGAGAGGCACTGAGGCTGATGCCTAGATTTCTGTCTTGATCAGTTATGATGGTGATGCCACACTCACCTGGTAAAGAAGACTTATCCAAGAGTAGGAGTGAGAAAAGGAGGTTTTTGAGTTCTCTTTTCAACATGTCCACTTTGAGGTAGCAGAGAGAAGTCTTATGGAAATGTTGACTCTGTGGGCCTGCAGCTACAGGTCCAGCCACAGAGATGATGTTTGGATGTTGCTGACATAGAGATGACAATTGAGACCATGCGTGTAGAGGAGATTGTCTGGGGAAAGTGTGCATGGTGGTGACTGATACAAACAGAGCTGCATGTCCTTCGTCCTAGCAATTTTACTTCTAGAAAGGAGGTATGCTTAAAGACAATTATGGCAGAGCTATTTAAGACTGTGAAAAATATAGAAGTAAGCAAAATGTCCAACATGAGAGGCAAAGCACAATTTAACTTCAAGGTACAGAACAGTATAAGGCCATAGAAAGTCATGTTGCAGAGTGTTTGACATAGACAAATGCCCACCTTAAATTGCTAAGAGGAACAAACCAGCTACAAAAATATACAGCAGGACATCATTATCGTGTGTTTGTCTGTGTGTATCCATGCATGCATACTCTCACACAGAAAAAATACTGGAAGAGCACACTCAGAAATGTTAACAGGGTTGTTCTATGGATGGTGAATTTAAAAATGATTTGGATTTCTGCCATTTTGTTCTTTCCAGTAATTTTTTCTATGTTGACTAGGCACTACTTTTGTAATTAGAAAAAAATTGTTCTTAAATCCTCCTTTTTGGTTCACTGAAGATATCACAGATCAGAGCTGAAAACATCCACGTTAAAATCTCCCTCCCTGCCTTTCTCTTGGGTAAATGAGCTTCTACAGAAATTCCACAGAGAAGCTCCTGCCCTACATTATGTTACCGATTTCCCCCTCAGCACTCTGCATAAACACGATTCCGAAGCATTAGGTCTCAGCTATTAGCAAGGCAGATATGTGCTGCCTTCTCCTTTCAGTTTACAGCCCTTATCATTTGCAACTCTGCTTTAAGAACTCAAAATTATGGTCTGCCCATAACCTACATAAAAGTGCAAGAAGTCCCACCATTTGGAAAGCTGTAAAATGCATCTGACAGCGGGACACACTCATGCACAGCTTCCTAAAATGCATGCTAACTAATCAGCCGCCCTCTCCCTGCAGGGGCCCCAAGAGCTTCCAGCAGCAATACTTCCCTGGAACAACACTCAGGAGCAACAGAGAACCAGCACAGCCATTCATGCTGGCTCTCTTGTGAGGGAAAATCAGGGTCTCCTACGAATTCACGGAATATCACATTATAGCTCAGAAATTGCTCAAAAACGTTCTATTGCTTAATGGGCCCAGTATCTAGACTAAAATCTCCTAGACTTCTACACTAAAGACTCTGTGGACCAACTACTCTGCCCACTGCCATTACTACCATCAAAATGCCCCAGTATAGGAATGGATGGTGTTTAGCATAAACACAATTAAATGCTTGTTTGTCTCTAATGTGTCTAATAAAGCTTATTATCATTGACCTAACCGCACAGCCTGTTCTGCTGACAATGCAGATGGTGCAAAGAGAACAGCCACTGGGCCTGATGGGCTGGCCTGGCTCACACACATGAATGCCCATGGTTCAGATCCAGCTTGCAGTGGCGCTAGAGTATAATTAAAAATGGACTTTTTATGAACATTTTACATAGTTGGAGATTTCACAGAAAATCAGAATACCAATTCTCTTGAAAAAATTCAATCTAGGTCTTCAGTACCTGCTGCCCCTTTTAGACAAAATATGTGGGCTCCAGTTTACCTCTGCCTGTCCCAACCTGTTTCAGTCCAGAACGATACCCGTTTGGCTTGTATGTTGCTACGATGCTGGAAGCTATGTTACTAGTATTTCAAACACCAATAAGGTCACCCAGGGTGGACAGGTTTCAGCAGAACTTTCAGATTAAGTCAGATTAGGATGAAAGGGCTGGTGATCTACATCAAAATAGTCGATAAAAACCTTATAGATTACAGAACAACATTGCCTGATTCGTTTTCTTTGGACCTGTCAGCAGGAGGCCTCAATTACTGCAGGAGGACATCATGTTAGGGGAAGCAGAGGGCCAGGTAGAGCAAGGGGTATCCTTGATGAGACAGATCAGCACAGTGGCCACAGTGAGGAACTTGAATCCGCTGGCAATTATGAGGAGGACACAGGACTGAGCAATGCTTCGTTCTGTTGTACCTAAGGTTCTCATGAGTCAAACTGACTTGGTAGCAGTTATATATCTAGCTAGCTAGCTCTGGAATACATTGCAGTACGCCCTATACACACAAATGGGAGAATAAGAAAGAAAAGATACTCCCATCCCCTTGCTCTTCTCCACTGGAGTCTAAGCAACTGGGGGGGGGGCAGTTTCCAAGGGAAGTTTCCAGACTTCTGGAAGCTTGCCACTTGCTCTTTTGTAACTGAGCAGTCAGGTATAGGAAGGAACACACTGACTACCCAACATGCCATCACGAGGAAAATCCCATTCACCACCCTGGGTCTTAGATCACTCAGCCCTGGGGTGGAAGTGAAAGAAAGCAAAGAAAACAGCAAGGAAAATAAGGAGCCCAGTCTGTGTCTAATGGTCTAAGGACTATTCTTCAGATACCAAGGGTTTAAATGTGAGTGCAAACATTATTCAAATGAAATGACTTCTAACACAATTTACGCAGTCCAGCAATTAACTCAGACTCCCTTGTTTAATACAGCCTGCCCAGAACAACTGAAACTATTTGGCTCTTTTGGACAAGGATGATGATGCACCATCCAAGCCCGTGGAGTTAACAACTGAGCACCATCTTTTGGGGTTTAGTAGCCAGCTCTCAGACAACAAATGGGATGGTCTCGCAGACTTGTACCTGCAGGAGAGAAAAGTTTCTGACTCATGAAAGCCATTCCCAGGCTGACATGACCAAAAGCAAAGCAAACTCACTGCCATCGAGTCGTTTACAACTCACAGCGATCCCCACTGCATTTCCAAGGCAGTAAATCTTTACAGAAGTGGGTTGCCCAGTCTTCCTTCTGCAGAGTAGCTGATGGGTTTGAACTGCCAACCTTGTGGTTAGCACTACGCCACAAGACCTCCTTCAGGCTCACATGAGGAGCCAGAATTCCTTGTGAGGGCCTCTATAGACCTCAATTGGATGCACATGATATACCAGAAAAATATCCTCAGATATCTTAACTGATTACTGCCCCTAGTACTACATCCTAAGCCATCGCTGTGATGGTTATGTTTGTGTGTCACCTTGGCTGGGCCTGGGTGAGCGGCTGGGCAGCTGGTGGTAGTTATTCCCCATGATGAGACCGGTATTCAACTTCATGGTGGGATCTACCACAAGCAGCTGAGTAGCTGCCTTTGGGTGTGTGGTCTGCTTCCTGTATATAAGGAGAAGTTTTGAGAATGGTCCCTAACCTATGGCACACTTGGACCCTGCCTGTAGCCGTGTCATAGCTCAGCAGCCTGCTATGCTCTGTCGACCTTGGGACTTACAATGGATTTAAGTTAATGGCCTGCCATGTGGTTTGGTAACATTGGGACTGTGCCTTTTGACTTGTCAACCTTAGGGCTTCTCAGCCTCAGCAGCCAGCAGCTGTCTGAGTGAAGAAAAGCCTCTAGCCCCAGTGGGTCAAGAGCAGGAGGCAGACCTAGACCCCAAGGTTAAGGGGCTTTCACCCAGACCCTAGAGCTTGGCACTTTGAACTTGGACTTAAAGCCTCCAAATTGTAAAAATAAACTCCTGTTTGTTAAAGCCATTCCATTTGTGGTATATTTCTTGTCAGAGCAGCACTAAGGAACCAGTACAATAGCCATCTCACCAATGAATTGAAAATGCTCCGTGAAGTGCATGTCCACAAAGTATTTATGCTCCTATCAACCTTTGCATCATCCTAGTAACTTCCCAGTATCCCAGACTCCTGGAGCCTGAACTCATCTGCCTGTTAACTAATCTAAGCTAATGGCATATTATACACAAAAAGTAAGGAGAAAGTCAGACTTGAGAAAGTTAGATATTCAGACTTGTATGTGAAATGCTCACTTTTTAACAGTTAGCTACCAATGCCAGTGGTTAGAAGGTCAGAGGAAGGGAGACAGTTCTAAATATGAATGAAAGCATCCTTCTAAATATTTCTAAGAAAATCTGGTGACTCAAATTTTCCCCACCTCATTTTATTAGAAGGGCCCCTTGCCTCCTAAAAAAAGATTTAAAAAGCTGCCATCAAGTCAATTCCAACTCCACTGACCCCCATAGGGTTTCCAAATCCTTACAGAAGTAAATTGCCTCATCTTCCTCTCATGGGGCAGCTGGCGGTTTAAACTGCTGACCTTCTGGTTAGCAGCCAAATGCCTTACCCACTGTGCCACCAGAGCTCCTTTTGCCTCCTAATAAATCCCTAATACTCCCAATTGTCCTAGGCCTTGAAATTCTAGCACTGGGCCCAGGCCACCGCCCCATGTGATAGACTGTAATTCTCCACTGTTACAACAGATCTTGACACTGGGCCAATCCTACAGTATGCCTTGGATAATTGAGTGGTTTCATCCACAAGAAACTTAAAGCCAGCCCTGAAGGACATGTTCCAGGGCTACAGCTCACCACTGGACACACCTGTGTTGCAGGCAGTTCTCATGTCCAGAGGCATCCCACCTTCTTATTTTGCCCCATCCTGGACACTGTTTCTGCTCATTCCCTACGGCAGGCCTTTGACCCTGTGAGGCTAGCTCTACTGCCACTTCTACTGATAATTCATTCCTTCCCATTGGAGACTTCTTGGTGCATATGAACAACTGATTCAGAAGGAAGACAAATACTCCTCCCAAAGTGGATTTGGAATCAGGTAGGACTCATGCCCAAGCTTCTATGCCCATCTCCTGCCGTTACAAACTAAAACTAAAAGCACCACCATCTGAGTCCTTTCTGACTCATAGCGACCCATATAGAGTTTCCAAGGCTGTAAATCTTATGGAAGAAGACTGCCTCATCTTTCTTATGTGCAGTGGCTAGGAGGTTCAAATCACCAAATTTTGGTTAGCAGCCAAGTGCCTTAACCACCATGCCACCAGGGCTC